CACAAGGGTTGTCTGAAGAAAGAGCAATATATAGGATTAGAGAATATCAACGAACTCACGTCAAAGGCAGAGGAGTTGCGCACATTTTCGCAATCATCTCTTCAAACTTGGCGTGGTCCGTACGATCAGTTACACAAGAAATGTTGTCCTCAGGTTCCCATGAAGGGTCTGGCTTGATCCAATACGGCCTTTCGTCTAATATTACGAAGTAGGCTGCTGAGTGTATGCTAGCGAAGTAACAGTACCTTCCTTGTGCACCAGGCGCTGTCCAAAGCGACCATTAGTGCCGTAGATCTTGACGAACTGTCTGGAAAATGCGTTGAAGTCAACCTATGACCGATCAGATGATACGAACACAACTCGGCAAGAAACGTTCATCGCCTTGACGGTGAAGGCGCTTCTGGTCCGACCACAACAAGAGGCCAAGATTATCACCTGCTTTTCAAAGATCTGTGCAGAATGCACACAGCACTGGCCCTCCTTCCTGTTGTCATCGAACAGAACCTGAAAACCCCCCCAGTGATCTCGATCGACTGTTTACTTCCATTCACCTGTCCCGTCGACACAAGGTCCATGTAGTCCTTCTTCTCACCAGAAGGAGTGGTACTCGGCTTTAGTAGACGTGGAACTACCTATATTACAAGAGGAATTCCAACACCCGTACCAGGACAGGAACTCACCACTGCCAGAAGCATACCGAGAAGAATGCCCAGGATGGCTGTGCCTGCTGTGAGATCCCCAAAGAGGAAATCAGACATATAGATGAAATACACAAGGGAAGAACTGTAGACGATTCCCTCTAGGATAGCACGGGCAGATCCCACTAACAATCACTCGGAATTTGACCCGATCGTGTCATCGTGACCGCTGAGATATATAGGGCTGTCCCTGTTTTTGTGTGCATACCGCAACTTTGTCTACTCTGTGTGCCCGATTAGAGTATCTTGTTATCACGCAAGCCGAAATAAGTGTACGACATGAAACCCAAGCGAACAGCCCTTAGCATTGGCAACCATCAACGCGTCTTCTTCGATTCAACTGGAGGGCCTGATAGCACAACTGCCGAGACAACCTTCTGTGCTCTATAAGTCTCAGAAGAGATATCCTCATAGTACTCTCTTCTTCATCACTCCTGTTATTATCCTTATCTCCAGGATCCACTGTTTCCTCTTCGTCAACAACTTTCAGTACAAAGGCATCAAAAAGAACACCCATTACGAAGCCCGCCACCTATTACGAACATAACCAACACTTGCTGGTCGTCGGCCGATACTATTACGATCAAAGCACAGCAGCCTATTGGAGAGAAGTGAATCAAAGTGATGATTTCAGCAGCAACAGCTTTGGCCACGGCTCGCAGCGAGAAGGAAGGCTTGCCTGGCCCCTCAATGGGGACATTTACAGCATCGCCATTGTAAACCTGAGCGTATCATTAGATGGTCCGTTGATTGGGTGGACGAATGGGAAAGTAGGGATGTGCTCCATGATACAGTAACAATGATATGCTACTCAAGTAGACCAAATAAGGCGTACGGGAATTCCCCGTTATCCCCAAATAGAACTCAATAGTGATAATATCTCGATGGTCGCCGTGGAAATACATACCAAATTGGTATCTACTTCTGTGACTTCACCGGAGCTACTGGTAAAGGCTCCATACGAAGGTCGTATACTATATCGAACGTTTGCAATGCCCTCCCTACGGAAGTAGGTATAGACGGGGAATGCCAGCACTAATTTTCAACTTCCATAGTTTCGGGAATTTCCAAGGTTTCGAATTTCCATCATAGTACCTTATGCGCTCGAGCTGCAAACTCGCTCATCTCTTCGCTGTCTTTTTCTCCGGTATACTTCAACATTTTCCGCCCATCATCGAAGAAGACATAACTACATGAGGAGACACGTCACAAGGGGCCTCATATGGACGATTACACGCTCGGAACCTTGGTTTCACCCAAACGCTCGCATAGATGTGATTGAGCCATGCAGTCCAATACTCCTGTAAACAAGTCTCTAGTGGGTAGTAGGGGATAATATAGGTCGTTACCGACTCGGAAAAGCTGCTCCTTCTCAGCGACTGTACACACGTCCTCCCATACTGGCTTCAATGCTTTGCAATGTGGACACGTCGGCGAGTACAGGAATATTAAAAAAGGTCGGGGATCTGAGGCCGATACTCAGATGGAATGTTCCAAGTCTATCCTCACCCCAACGTACCATCTGCGTCCCTAAGAAGGTAGTCGAAATTGACTGAAGTTATCTCCACAACATTAGCCACAGCTAGCCGTAGTAGTAGTAAGAAGAAGAACGTCAAGTCGAGCCGCATCGACCAAGAACTGCCAATGGCCCCTCCCACGTCAACTCAAATGCTCAACTATGGTCTCTGTAATGCACTCCCCTTCTCATCATCGTAATTCAACCCAGGGATGAGTTCGCCCGTGAAGCTCCATTTCTGAAGGAACCGCCAAGTTCATCATAGTAATATGCTGCAGACGTCATTTTCCCGACAGTCTCAATTGGTCCATCAAAAACCTCCTTCTTAACCGTGGTTGCGTTGTAATACTCAACCGATAGGGTGTGAACATGAGCTTGTACCGGAGGTGATATTCTTCCTCACTCACCCAGAAGTGGAAGCACAGTCTCGTCGCCACTGCAGCTTCACAACGGCATACTACTTTCGGTGTGAATTCTATGGGAAGAACTTCAGCGAAGTCGTGATTGCGAACAGGAACATCATCCCACATTTTACATGCTATCACCAATGACCCTAATATAATACTTTTCCATGATCGTACAGTCAAACGAAAACCGCAACACCTCAAGAGGCGCTCACAGTATATGAGTGAGATCAGGACGGACTGAGGCAAGAGACCCATACTGCTGACAATATCGTGAATGAAGGTGAAGACTTGTACAGGTAGAGTACGCTGAAACAACAAACCCTACTAGGAGGCGACCACGTATGGTATCACTGACTTCTCCACAGTGATCCTCTGAACACTCGTCTTGCCCTCTGATCAAAAACGATCCGAACATACCCCCGTCCTCGATCTGAACATACCGGTTGGGTTGAATTACCCTGTCGTAGTCAAAAGCGTCGTTTCTATGGTGTTGAAGGCCCATAGTATTGGTCATAGTTATGATCTCACAGATTCTCTTTGTGACACCACAGCATATCACATTTACTCTAGCCTCTCTTGCCTTTGATACTCTACCATGATGCCTGCAGTACAGACAGGACCTTCCAGAATATTAGTGGGTATGCTACCTCCACCGTCCCTCACCATATAACGTGCCCGGCGATGGGACGGAGTTCCAAGCTCCCATTGTTATACAACCTCACCGGAGTCTCACCCGTGATATGAAAAACACTAGTGAAAATACATTTTACGACGACTGCATCCCGGGAGTATCGCGTTTTTCACCAAGTTTAACACCACTTCGCGTAAAACGGATGAAACTTCACTGTATATCATCATCCTACATTAATACATTCATCATCAACACAACGCCGATACATGGTCTAATCGAGCTGCCCGTATTGGCATGAGCCAAGTGGTTTCCAGGCACCGTAATGATACTGACAAACTACCTATCAAAGCCTGCTCTAGACCATTATGATCGTAGACGCAAGTAGACGCTTACTACCGGTCATGGAGGGACAGACGGCACATGTAGAACTACAGCAGACTTCTGAGAGGACAACTCACTCGATTTGGTTCCGTTATAATAACACAATTCTCATGTCGTGTATGTCTGCATTATAAGTGGATTCCGTTCATGTCTCCCTTATATTAATAGTATTCTCTACTGCATTCATTCGACGATACACTAATTCGAATAACAGCGCCACGGTGGTAGTAACCGAGCGGATGGGGTAATATTTGAGATTGTAAGCTAAAAAGAATACTGTACTCTTCTACATCATCACTACCGAGCCGCCTCATGCCTCAACATCAGAGTTCAGACCAGAGTCTTCCACAGTGTCT